GCCAATGTAAATGCATTCCCGGCGGTTGCATTTCCTCCGAGGTTTTCTATTTTATTTTTTCCGCCGCGTGAGCGAGCCGCACGTTTTTATGCACCGTGCAAGAAAGTACATTCTACCCGCCTTCGGATCAGCGGTAAGAAATGCAAATAATTATTACGAAATTTAACATGATATTAACATACATTGTATGTGAAAAGTATGTTACTGTGTTAATGTACAAAAGAATTGATAAACATGAAACGTTAAATTATTATATTTCTTTTGTAATGTGAGCAATTAAATTAAAACGTTAACAAAATCCGCAAAACAGCAGAATTACATTTATTTTATACACTACTGCAGTTATTAAAAGTATAAAAATCGATTTCTACACGGAAAGGACGATTTTGCTAAAATATTTCCAAATTTAGTTAGATCTGATACAGATTTGAAAATAATTTTGTTATACCATCAAAATAATTATGTAGGAGGTTCGAATTACTGGAACCGATTACTGGAATGTCAAAACTTTTTACAGTATTACTGATCATGCTCGCAATTATTAATCGCAAAAATTCGATTTCTATATGAAAAGGACGGTTTTGCTGAAAAAAATATCTAAAAATTTAACTAAATCTAACATATCTGAAAATAATTTTGTCGGACTATTAAAATAATTATGTAGCATGCTCGAACCGGTTACTAAAACGCTGAATCTTTTAAGTAAAACATTGTTTTATTATCTTTAAATTTTCTAAGTAATTATTCCGATAGTCTAACAAAATTATTTTCAGATCTGTATCTTGTTAAATTTTTAGATAATTTATTAAAATCATTTTTTCCATCTCTATATTACTGTAACATTTGTCGAATTTGAAATAAGTAGTTCGTGAGTTTCACTCTCCGCGTAACTTCCAAGAAAATTAGAAGACCGTAAGATTTTCGCGCGTATTCCAACATTCAATCGCGGAAGAAACAACTCGTCTCGTCGAAGCGTTACGAGTTACGAGCAAACTCGTCCGCGTGTAGTTACGCGTGCGTTCGCTCGCGCGTGATCCGCTCGTATCCGGGCCTTACGTCTACAATTCCTTACAATCGTGTTGCGAATTAGGGCTCGAGTTCATAATGTAAGAGCTCTAGTTCACAGTGTAAAGCTATCGTTCAATTCAACGTCTCTCTCGGAAGGATTAAGTTCAGAAAACGCGCTAAATAGGAAGAACCGAACGACAAATGAAAGCTTTTTAAATTTCAACTGAGTTTCCGAAGAGTTTTTTAAGAATTTCTGAATATTACGATGAAATTAAATGTCTAATTGTTTAATTAAATTTATTTCATAAAATAGCAAATTAAAAACCGTCGATATTATTATAAATAGAACTAAAATGATAATGGAATTCCCGATAAGGAACAAAAAAAAGATATCACAATTCCATGTCTACTGTGGGAACGACTATAAGCGACTAATATTGTTGCCGGCCGGCCGGCCGGCCGGCTACAGTTAGGATCGCGAATCGAGGAGATAGCTACGGAATATGTAGGGTGTAGCGAAAAGTGGTTCTCCTTGGGCCTCGATGCCGCATTCCCGCTCGCATGCATCTCCTCTCCCGGCGGCAACGGCGGCTTTTTTCCGCACCGCAACTGCAATGTGGGCGACGTAAAACGGACATGCCGTTACGGATCCGCTAAGTGCCATCGCACTGCACATCCTAAAGCGATGACGTGTCCGCCAACGGAATTACTTTTACGGTCATTCAAGCATAAACGAGACGCACGCTTCGACGAGGACTTACATTGGAAAGATTGTAAGTCTAAATTTTGGACTATTACTTGTATGTTATTCATAATGATAATGTCAAAGTATTTTGCTATTTTTCGCGTATCATATCAAGAAAATTAAATTCTATTCCTTGATCATAATTAGAATCTTTAATTACTTTACATTTATGTATACGTAAGATATAGAACAAAGTACAAGTTTAAAAAATGAGTAATGTTATGTGTGAATAAAGGGATGAAATTCTAGACAAATTTTTATATAAATAATGTACGTGTACCAATTTTATTCCATACTACAAGCACGCACACTTTATTTTTCAATATAATAATTAGGTTTCCGTGGAAAACAAACAAATTATAATTGAAAGAGAAAGATTAGAGATTACAGAAATTAAATTCTGCTGAGAAGCGAAATTCAACAATTATATCCTCACGAAGATACGGGAGCGAAAGGAGACGAGGAGGCGTAATCCCGAAAACACAACGAGCGATATCTCGGTTCCGTTCTGAATGCAACGAGGGAGATTGCACGATCAACCAGCTGATGCATCCATGCACGAGACATCCTCCTTTCTATTTAGAAGACATTGTTCGCGCACGAGATCTAACGGTTTCACGGCACTGCGATACGTGATAAACACGATGTACACATATATACTGTGTACATACTCGATATTTCACAGCTTACTTTAACTTAATTAAACTTCACTTTAATCGAAGTTTGTCTAAGAAATTTGAAATCGATTTTTTTCTTAAGTTTTCGTAATCAATGAGTAAAAATATATTAGCTTTAAAAGAGAAAAAAGATCTTTTAAAGTTATTATATAATAAAGTTATAAAATCCATATAATTTTCCAATGTTTTCTTTGGAGAAAAATCATGCTAAAGCTACATTTAAAATCAATGCTTTTAATAGCATATATTATTACCTTCGTATTGTATACAAAGGTAGTTCGAAAAATTCTCGAAATGACATCACAAATATCAAACTGCTATTTTACACAAGTTCGATCGTTCATAGGGCTGCTGTTAAAATTTCAGACGGATGCATTCATTAGTTTCTTTATTTCGGTCGAGTAAAGCAATTAACTTTTGGTTCCTTTATGACAATGCATCCGCTCACATTTCTTCAATTTCAATTGCAAAATTTCGTTAATTGGTTTTGCAAGCACCATATTTCATCAGATTACGTGAAACCATTTAGCTGAGCTCTGTAATCCTTGCTTTTGATTTATTCGCACGATAAATGATATGTACCAATTTTTTGGCGCAAGGCGGTCTGCTTGCCTGTCTGCTATCGGTGCAGAAAAGACGCACAAAATTAAATATACAATCGAAGTCCGAGTCCAAAAACTGGGTGGCATTTAAAAGTCGTGACGCGCGCAAAACGCCGCGTCGTAACGCGTCGAGGAAAAGGGAAAAGTGCTCTCAAGAGCACGTCACAGAATAAAAGAGTCGTGAATCTATGCGAAAGAGAAACGGTGGATGGACAGAAGAACACGAACATCTGGCTGAATTCGAAATCGTATATCGTACTTTCTTTAGAGTGAAGCTAATGTACTCCATATTTCTGGCCGTTGGTAAAAAGAAAGAAATTAATCTTTTATATTAAACATAATAATTAATCACAATAATTCTCTCTAAAACTTTTAAGAGTGAATCTCACTCTAAAGAATGAAATGTTACTCTTAAAGCTTGAAAACTATACCTTTCTTTATCAAGATTAGATCAGTTTTCACTTTCTAGAGTAAGATTCAACTCCAAAGAATTTAGAGAGTATACATTTTTCTCATAAAATTTTAACTCGTAAAATTTTTAGTAAAATTTTGATTTAGGAATCAATTCCATGTTACTCCTATAATTGGCTTATTTTCTAATATACCATATTTGAACAAAGGCTTCTTGAAAAGCGTAGCGGATTTGTAAAGTTAGCAAGACATTCTCTTAAAATAAAAAAAATAATGACAGTTCTAGAACTTTTCGTAATTCTACACACAGTATTTTATAAAAATAAAAAAAAGTTCCACTTGTTTTATACTAAAAATACTAAATTAAAAGTATGACGCGCTAATTTCACAAATCTACATGACACTCCCCCTTCAAAGTGTAAGAAAACGTTAAACATTACTACTTCTTAGATTTTAGCGATAGTTTCGGCCTCTAAGTACTAGAACTGTCATTATATTTCTTTTTATATTAATAAAATGTCGTGCTACCTTCACAGAGCCGAGCGGCGCGGCACGGCTGACACTTTTCATTGAAATTTCATCTGTGGGCAATCTCTCGGCCCGATCTCCTTATGCCCGTCGCGAATCGCGAAGGAAATGCGAAATAGGGAATGCAAGTCGCGCGCGTGTAAGGAGGAGCAGCCGACCAGCCGACTAATTGGCATTCGCGGTGCATCACGCACGTACCGCGACGCTGAGGGACAAAATGCCTGGAGGAAGGTGTCTATGTGCGAGGAAGGTGTCAACAACCTCTTGCGGCACTCTTCTCCACCTGTGCTTTTTTTCACCTCCCACGCCGCCTCGTTGGTGATTCCTCCGCGATCCATCCGACGAGCTCTTTTTAGACGTCGACTTAATGCAACGCATAATCGATCATTGCGAAAAGACTCGATTAATTTTTCATAAATTAAAATAAGTATAAGCAATTATAAAATTTCTTCTAGAGATCGTATAAGAATCTCCTTCCAATATCGAAAAATGCGTAAACGTAAATAAAGTTTTTCCTGAATCAACGGAAGCAACTCTATCTTATTCTTAAAAAAATATTTTGAATGCTACTCAAAAGTTAAATATTGAAATTTATAGTACGTAATCAAGAACTGAAAATATTTAATATAATCTTTCAAGTATGTTTTACTTATAATAAAAATGTATAATCTTTAATAATAAATTTTATTATAGTATTAACTTTGTATTACTTTTTACGCATGCAAGTCTTTCGTTCTAAAAACATAAATTTGTAAATTTTGATATAACTATTCCATTAGTCATAATTATGTTATTTGTAAAAGGAGAAATTATGCGACTTCAAAATGCAAGATCAATTTCATATAAAGTTCCTTGTATACATAAAACAATATTCTCGGAATTTATAAATGTCTAAAAAATCAAATATTTAAATTAACCAGTTTGTCTCCGCATGGAACAACACATATATTTGTTAAAGTTCACGTCTGCAAACGATAAAGTTCAACTGATCGAACCTATTGCTTTATACATTTCTTTAGAAATCCTTAGCTAAAATTTTTTACTACAAAGCAAACTGTAAGATCTCAGAAGAAAGTTGAGACTTTATTTCGATATAAATTTTGCCAACCAAAATTAGTTGATAATTTTCTAATTACAATTTAAATTATTATTTTAGATTACCTATTGATTTAACTTTATTAGTAAAAATCAACTTTTCAATTTTTCCGCGTTATTTATTTCGAATATTTCATAATATAATTCGTATCAATCTCTTCTACTGATAAGTCTTCCGCCACTTTAGGATATCATCCTAAAGTGTTTCGTTAGATCGTCTCCCGGACGTGTCATCGTCCGCGAATCACGCGATCTTGCGGAGACGGTACGCGCGGGTACAAGCGCGGATGCTGCGGAGGATCCGTCGAAAGTGAGGAGCGCCTCACTTTCACTCTCGCATGCACGATAGATATACCTCGGCAGATGCCGACAGATAAAATCGCAAAGTCGGCAAAACGGCCAGCGGCGTACAATCGTCCATCTTCTCCTCCTCCGCAATAACGCTATTATGCAAGTCGTCAAGGAGATGTTACCTCAACGTGTTGCCAGAAGCTGCCGACGCACCGAGTGCGAAATCGCTAATAGGAAAGGATGAATGTTCGGAAATTAAATTTCACGCCACATTACCAAAGAAAAAAGCCGCGAAATATGCCGAGAGAACAAGCCATATTTCGTCTTATGAAAGTTACGCTGATTTATCGTCCTGTTAATCCTTATTTATATATCATTTCACAAAATGCAAGAAACATTGTATTTCAAAAAATATATTAGACGAAGTATACGATATAATTATGAAAGAGAAACATGTAATAAAATATGATATAAGAGTGCAAAGTTACATACATTTGTGAAAAAAATATTTTGATAAATTTTAGAAACAAAAATTGATAGTCGTAAAAAAGCTGTTTCGTAAATACGTTGAATAATTTATCATCGAGGTAAACAACTTAATCAGTTTCCGAATTAAGTTTCTCTTCATGGTATTTTTACTTCCATTATATATTAAATGTCCCGTTCTACTACGGAACTCGATTGCTATGAGAAAAATCTCGACCTTCGGCAAAATTCCTACGAGAGAGATAATTCGCAAGACAGGAAGAAATATGAAAGAGATGTGACGATCGGAACGGGAGAATCCTACGGAAGGACGACGGGTCTTGCTCAAAAAAGGAGAGAAGCCGGATGGAGCCGAATATTAATCACCACGTATTATCCTTGGCATGTTGAACACGTAATGCCGATCAGTATACCGCAATAATGCATCAAATACGACGCAATGTTACCGTTATCCGGCAGAGGGTTCACCTTTTTCGTTGTCTCGAAAAGTTTCCTTTCCGTCGACGTCAATAAATGTGCCTCGCATTTCATTCAAAACGTAGACATCGCGCAGTATTTCTTTCATCACTTCAAGAAACGCACGTTTTATATTCTTCGTTCTTCAGAATTTTTTCTTAAGAAATATTGAGGTAAAAAATTAATTCAATAGAAAAATTAAAAAGTCTAATGGAGTCTAAGTGAATCAAGTAATCTTCCATAGTCTAACCAGCGCTTTGAAGACCCAGGCGAATTTTCAATTTCAAATCATTCTGCCTCAAATTCGAACACGTACAAGAAAAGTGAAAGAAAAAAACGTTTCGGGTCATTGTAAAATAAAATAATGTTGAATGTAGATTTTTTAGAGCCCAAAAACATTCGAAAAACACAGAACCGATTAGACTAGGGCTGTGTTCCAAATGTACTGCCAGCACTGAAAATGCTACAGCTTACGTTATATGCACTATAGATTTTCAGTACTGGCAGTCAATTTTGGAATACAGCCTAGGAATGCAGTGTAAAAAATGTTGGAAGAGAATACAGAATAAAAATTTATAATAATAATTATTGCCAATCGATGCCATAGCGGAAAGTGCGAAAGAAGTTCAAGTTAACGAAATGCGCTCGACATGAAAATGTCTTCGGCTGAAGCGAAGCAACTGATCGTTAACTTGGAATATAATACTATCTACGATCCGCATAGGACGTGAAAGTTATCACCGGCGCTGCGAAAACTCGCTCGGACGACTGGAAATCAAATCGCTTTTACCGGAAGTACCTGTGATGATAACGCGTTTGAGAAATGCATGAAATGCACATATGGTAAATGCGTCACATATTATCGACATTTTTAGTTTTAACTGGCGATCAAATGAAATTTTTCGAACGGTAAGATGGAACGATGTTAAACAATGATAAATCCGATGATAATTGAACTTTGATAATAAATTGAAATTCAAAAATTTACTAATGTGTGTTTATAATCATTATGTTATTATTTAATACATTTATTATAATATGTTAAAAAATAATAGTATCAATATAAAATATTTTTTTCATATGTCATGAAATTTATTTTATTGTCACGTATTATTTCATTATTACCATTAATATTTTTATTTCTCAATCACCGTATTTTATCATAAGACACAAAAGTTGAAATAGTCACTTTGATAAGAGAAACACGCAAAAGCCGCGTGTGTATAGTCTGTTACTTAGATTCAATAGACAGTAACTATTCATTGTGGGCACGTTTATAAATCTCGCGCATGCTCATTACCTCACTCGGTGGCAATGCGATTTTATTCGAGAAACTGGATTAAACGGAGCGAGAAAGTTCCGTTGGTCGTCGTCGTCGTCGTCATCGTCGTCGAAAGTGTCCTGCATTAACATGCATGTCTGCCTTGGATCGAAATCGTCCTTGGTCTCAACACGAAACACCGATTCTCGTTCTAAAGGAATCTCAAGAGAGTACTTCCATTGACCGTCAATTTAGAATGACATAATATTCGACAAAGAACATGAAAAACGTACATAAATGTTCGCGTAATAAAATAGAATTTTTAATTAAATAAGCAGATTCCTCACAGTCGAAAAACATTAAAATAGTCAAATTAACCAATCACTGTAAGTCATATAATGTAAAACAAATCAAACATGTTATTTTCCTCAGCTTATGTCTTACTTCTTAAGTTTTTCTGTGTGTCTTTAGTTTTGGCCCTGCTGTTTGTCAGTGACAAGTATAATATATTATGAATCATGAAACCAACTCGTGGCCATCTTATAAATATTTTTCATGTGGGTATTATTAAAGTATTAAAAAAGTATAAAGATGATGATACAATGTATGCGATAGAAAAATTGTATTCAATTTGATTAACTATATCACGAGAATTGAAAAGAAAAATTTCACCTGCTTCATTATACACATTCGTAACATGTAATCGTTCCAATGTTCGTATCGGGTTATTAGGAAAAAACTGGAAAAACTACCGAAGAATCACATTGAAGAATTACGCTTGTTGGGTCGCTTCATTGCCTGGCTTGAGGCGAACAATGTGTGGTATAAGAAGGGAATTGTTTACACAAGGGCCAGATGACCGCTGAATAGACGCATATAACAATATATCACTATGATATAGGACGTAAATAAAGTTGAATCACATTAAATGTTCTATACAAAACTTTTTTAAATAAATATACAGAAGGTTTCATTTTAATATTTTTAAATGACATACTAATATATCTCGAGAATATGATATATAGTAGGATGAAAAAAAGTTGCAGACAAAAGTTATGTGACATCGAGGAGGACATAAGATGGTCCCATTGATTTAACCTTGGATGGAGTTGTCAAAGTGAGGGCAAGGTAATTTTATTTTTTTATTAATAAAATTATCATTAATATTTTTTATTTATTTCCGATAAATAGATTTGATTTATATCTCAATAATCGTCATTATCGCAATCACCCCTTAGACCGTGATATATTATTCCGCGATATAAGATAATTATGAAGCAGAAGAAAATTTGTTTTTATACGTAAACAAAAAATAATTTCGATTACTTATATTTTCCTATTAATAATAGAAGCTTTAAAATAATTATTCATACAAAAATATAAATAATAAAAATTAAGAAAATGGAACGTTGTTAAATTCCAACTTTGCATTTTTCCATCACAATTACCCTTTGATCTGACTCTAAATATCACAAAATTATGATGATTTTTTCGCTTCATATTATTCTATTTCGTTTTTAGCCCCTTTGTATCTTAGCTAATTAATGTTGCATAATAGCAAACAAAAATTATTATTATTACTTTTATTTTCTACATTTCAACTTTTTTCTAATTCCTTCCTTCCGATCTCTTAAGACTTTCCTATATGACGAAATAACTCGTCCGCTATCGCGAGAAATGGCGAAATGCGTTGCAAAACCCGTGCAACTTTCTTACGTGACGAATCGTAACAGCCATTGGAAATGTAAACGGATGGTATGAGTAAGTCGATACGGCGTGATCTGATTGATCGATATGCGACCTTTCGCAATATTATAAAAACTAATTCTCATAATGTCTAAGTTGAAAAAACTCCGATGAAGAAAATCCGATTTTGTATAAACTCTAAAAACGTCAATATTAAAAAATATATCATATATATAAATAATGAATACACCATCTGAAATTTTCGTTAGCAATTATATCTTCAATCACGATATCTTACATGAATTATTCTATCGCTACCGAGAAGATTGTAATCAGTAAACATAGAAAACATAATCCGTAGTTTCTAAATGACGTAAGTACATTTTTACACCTTCCAGGAAATGAAAACTTATTGAAAATTTCTGAATGAAATCTTATTGAAAATTTCTTATATTTGTAGTTGTGAAGTGTAACGTCCGTAATAAGAAATATGAAAAAATATAAACCCTCTAAAAAAATATTAAAAATATTAATAATCGTAATATTTTATAAAAATGATGAAAAAAGTAATTGTGAATAAATTAAAAAATATTTAAATGAAAAGTACTCCATGATTGGGAAATACAGGAATTATTTAGGAATGAAAAGGGAAAATTCTAGTGCCATTTTGATTTTAAACTGGATCAATTTTAGAAACCAATTCATTGTGATTATATCAAGATACATTAAAGCGATTTTTGAATCTGTATAAAGAACATGAATCAATCTCACTAAGGAAACAACGACACGAAGAAAAACGGGTCGAATTCTATTTAATTACGCGCTATTTTCGTGACATTTTGCATTTTCTGTGTTGCCGTATCATTTAATTTGTTTTTCTTGAAAACTATATTTGTGTGAATTAAATTCGCATAAAAAAATCATAAATTAAATTTGTAGTGTTTTTTTTTCTTTGGAATATATAGACAGTTCTTGTGCAGCATAACTCATTTTTAATTAAGATTAATCGTTCTCGACTTTCGGAGTTTTAACGTTTAGTTTCTTTTCATTTTTGAATCTGTATAAAGAACATGAATCAATTTCACCAAGGAAACAACGATACGAAGAAAAACAGGTTGAATTCTATTTAATTACGCGCTATTTTCGTGATATTTTGCATTTTTTGTGTTGCTGTATTTAATTTGTTTTTCTTGAAAACTATATTTGTGAATTAAATTCACATAAAAGGATCGTAAATTAAATTTGTAGTGTTTTTTTTCTATGGAATATATAGACAGTTTTTGTGCAGCATAACTCATTTTTAATTAAGATTAATCGTTCTCGATTTTGAGAGTTTTAACGTTCCGTTTCTTTTCATTTCTTTTAAAGGGCAACCTTTTAATGATCATTAATGTTCACGACAATTTAAAAATAGAACATGTGATACTTCATCATAATTTGCAAAGAAAAGATATCGTATCAATATATTACAAGATGCATGCGCAGAAACTGAATTTTAATTTTACGATAACATTTTAAGACAATGAGAAGTACAAAACATAAAAAGAGTTTAAAAATGATAATATTTATTTAAGAAAGGAAAACTAGATTTAACCAAGAAGGTATAACCAAGCAAAAAGGAGAGTTGAATGTGGATGAATTTCTACTTTCGTGCACGCAATGTTAATGTAAATTCCAAACTTTTACTCCTGTCTTGGCGGGAATGATTATATACCAATTGTGACGAAAACATCTAAACATGTACACCTTACTTTCAATGAAAAAGATTTATTTATACATATATATATATTTTTTTTTTATATATATTTATTGTTTAATCTTCTGAGGACCGGCATGTTTTTGATCGACTTTTTTATTTAAAGGGCTAGAACTTTTTTGTCAATGTCATGGGGTTGAGTGGCAAAAAAGACAGCGCCACTGTTCGAGTCCCTAAAGGGGCCTCCGGTCTTCTACAGGTTAATTAGTCAGCACAAAAAAATTTCAGGATATCTAACATGGCATTTCAGAGAGAAAAAAGTAACTTTTTGTTAAATGGTGTAATTCATTTATCTTTTTATAAAATTAATACACTTTTAACAATATTAGCTCTAATCAAGAATTCTTTCAAAAAAATGCTTCGCCTAGTATCTATGTAATTTATATATCAATACAGTAGTATCTGAAAAGCATTAAGGCCCAGTTTCACAACTCACGGTTAACTCTTAACCGAGGTTCAACTTATTTCTCAACTTTTTCCAATTCTAGAATTGAAAAGAGATAATGAATAAGTTGAACCTCAGTTAAGAGTTAACCGTCAGTTGTGAAACTGGGCCTAAGAGAGTATAATCGGACGACTGTGCACCTTATAACGGACTTATACATCGCGCCGCCTCGAACGAGATCCTGAAGAGGGTGGTGTCTTGGTGGGATGACTCACGCGACTGGGAGCACGACGCACGACCTTCGTCTCTACCCCGTTATTTTGTATCGCGCCGCAGACTGCCGTGACCTTACGATTATCATTGTAGCCACGTATCACAGCCGCGTATATATAATTATTATTATAGCCACGCCGACCGCGCGGTATTTTGCAAATCGCACGACCATGGTCAGTCGGCAACTGCGTACGAATACGAAAGCATTTCGACGAATTTATCAATGTATGCAAACGCGTCCCCCACTGTCTTCACAGATAATTAACACATATTACGTATAAAAATAAAATTCTTTGCTGCTTCGTTCCTGTAAATAACGACCTAGACCTCTTAAATTAGTGTACAAAAAGGTTTTTCGAAGATTCTCTGGAATATTAATATAAATGTGATATATCTCAAGATAAATCTCTGTAATCTTTCTCTCAGGAAATAAAAATTCAGACTAAAACGATATTTTATGACCGCGAAACAAACAAAAAGTTTTCGACTTCACCTTCCTTTCATTAAAAAAAAAAAAAACAACCGTGGTCGATCTCTTTTTTTTCGCACAAAAAGAAATCTCGAGAAGAATAAAGTTTATTAAAAATCGCGAAACGTTATTTTTATATATATTCGATGTAATCGATGCAAAAATCAACTAAACACTTAAACCTAAGTGATCCCACAGCTGGCGGCAGATAATGCGGATAGGAAAAAAATTCGCCTATAGACATTAAGAACTGAAAGTTATTTCAACGATTTGAGGATTCACCAGCGAAAGGACAGATGTCGAGAAACTTCGAACGATATTTCCAGGAGAAAGGAAAGGAGAATTTATTTCAGTAATAGATTCGATATTACAGCTAGGGCGTCAAATAAAAGAAACTGTGAATCGGTTCTCTGAAACTTCAGTTTAAATTAAAAATAAAATAAGTTCTTATTCAATTTTATAGATTGTTTCATATTATATATAAAATATGTTTTTATCGAATTAAAAAAATCTATTTCCTTGGGAATTATCATTATTACTTTTTTTTATATGGCAATTTCATTCATTCAAGAATTTGAACAAGATAGTTAAGATTGATCAGAATGGAAATATATTGAATACACTCATTGTGATATTTCGTTTTACAAATCTGCTTTATAATACAGAAAAAGAGGAAGAGAGTGAGAAATAGAGAGATGAAAAAGAGGGATATCATTATAAAAGGAAAGAAAGACAGAAAGTCTCAAAGTGAGAGACGAGAAAAAGAGAGAGGAGAGAGAGAGAGAGAGGAGGGAGGGAGAGAGACAGAGAAATATGAGAAAAGTAGAGAGGTGCACCTCTTCTCGAAGTGTCCGAAGGAGGAGGTGGTAGCGATAAAAAGAAGGGGGAGAGGGACCTATGACACGTGACCAATGACTTATATAAAGGTGGTGAACGACAGAGTCCAAACATAGAGTTCTATCTCTCGACGCAGCGGAGGCGGTGTCCTTAAAAGTGCCTGTAGAATTTTTTTTCTGTTAATTTTTCGTTTGCCTCCGTGTCACACAGTCAACTTTTTCGTTGAACCATGAGGACGTACTTCGTGATAGCCGCCATACTGATCGCCGGTACGTAAATACAGACCAACCACCATCGGGGGGGATTAAGTTAAGGGTGGTGAAGTTAAGATGGGCCGGTTAAATACGAAAGATCGCGAGTGAGACGCAATACTCATCGAACAATAAGAAAGTGGAGACTGCATCGTTTAGTGTGTGAAATATACGCGTGTGGTAGAGTAGAGCAGTGCGTCCTACGTGCGTCGAGAGCAGGATATAATCGGGACCGAGTTCTGCGCTGCATCAAAGGACTCGCAGAAATAATCTTTGGAAACTTTTCCGAAACCGCGATCGTTCGATTCATGTTCGGGCGGTTGCATGTGCAAGTTTTCGATTTACGAATGATATTTCTTTCTCTCTCTCTCTCTCTCTCTCTCTCTCTCTCTCTCTCTCTCTCTCTATTTCCTTCTCCCTGCCTTCCTTTTAGTTTCTTTAACGTAATTTATTAACTTAAATCATTACTCATTAATTATTAATTTATCATTATTTTATTTCCCTATAATCAAATTTATCATTTAAATCAACGATATCGATGCATATTTAAAAAAACAAACAAAAAGACTTATATAGTCTTAAAAGATTGAAAAATATAAAAGTTGTATGTGAATGCCACCTTTAAAGCTAAAATAATATATCTTCAAGTGTGTCAAAATTAAAATTGTCTAGTCATAAAAATGTTTTTTTTATTCTAATTCATTATAATTATATTAAATAAATAATAAGACTACTCTTTGTTTATATATTTTTGTTTCTATATTTCTTAAAAACACAAGAAATAAAACGCAATTATATATTTAGATATTTAATAATTTAATGATTTAATCAAGTTGCGCAATCATGATTGTATGCTCATAATTATAGTTCTATTCTTCACAAAACCTAATAAAAATATATTTTCTAAAATAATTGTATCAATATCTATCACAATATATATAAAAAATACCGATATATCAATATCTCTCAAAATATTTTAAACAAATTATTTAGAGTTCTCTTTATATGAATTAAATAATACTATAATTTTTTTGACAAAATATGTATTCCATATTAAACTTGAAAACACGTTTTGACTGCATCGAAAAGTTTCTCCACATTAATTAAGCAGTTAATTAATAATTAAAAATCGCCCCCGGTCTAAAAAATTTTCCACGCTTTCTTGCCATCGCGGCATAACCTTGGCCTAGATCTTGACCCTCCTTTTTGTTCCTTTCTTGCTAAAAGAAAATTCAAGGATATGATTAATATCACGGCAAAAATTATTTATAAAATTTCCTTGATAATATAAATTAATATCAAATTTTCAATATCAATTTTCCATAAGTAAAAATCAAATGTGTCAAGAAACTGAGTTTGATGCAAAAAAATTTTTTTTAATTCCAATATTTATTATAATTAGAAAGTTACTATATATAAATTCCACAGATCTATACGTAAAATAATACGAATTTCTATATGTAAAGGTTAATTAAGTTGGACAATTATTAAGAGAAAAATTATACGTAATCCTTCAGTGAAAACGTGATATTATGAAGAAACTTGTATTAAAATCTTATATGTTAGAAATGTTCTTTCATAAAACTGAAATTTTCTCTCATTACATTTCATGTAAATGTATGTGATGAAATATTTAATAACTGAAGTATATAATTGATTATTACGTATCGTACATTAAGCTCTCACATAAAACATTTATAATGAAACTATCTTAGCTAATATCATAGAAAAAAAGAGAGAGTAAAGAGAGAGAAAGAGAAAAAACATATGGTAGAAACGGAAAATGAACTGAAAAGATAAATTAAGAAATAATTTTTTAAAAATGTTCTCAGAAAATTTATATTTTTTTATACACACATTTTTGAACATTTTTTTTATTTATATTGAATTTCTTGGCTTTATTATAATAGAACAAACTCGGTGTCATCTTCAATGTAATGGAACATATTATCAATCCTCGTCTAATTGAAGAATTTCGATTTTTAATATGCAAATCATTTTAACATGTAAATCGGTATATTTTATATAACTATTACATATTTTAAACAAGTAATTATATAACGACCTAATACCGCATATTTTACAAAACAAATCGAATGAAACTGGGATGGGGCGAGAGGGGGCCTTGTCTGCGGTCCCCTGACTGACGAATATTTCGAAGTCGCTTTCAGTGGCGAGACCGGTCCCTTGGAAAACGAAAGTGAACACAACTTCACGCAGACGCATTCGTATACAGACTCGCACTGAGGCTTGCAATGCGAACCGGGTGAACGGGATGCTGGGAGGGCCCAGTCACGAGCGGCTGTGGCCGGGGCCTGGCCGCGGGCCCAAAGTGAAAGCGTCCGGCGAAAGTTACCGTCCCGCACAGTCCCTTACATAAGACATTTTAACTTATTCAGGCGTCTTATGCCGCGTGCGCGTGAAAAGAAACAGGCGTAATTAAACACAATTAACATGGACACCGCGATATATACACGGTATTTCTCAAAGAGAGCTTTATCTATTCACCCCCGATTTTATTCTTCCGTAATGTCGATGTTTCCTGCTACTGAACAGTTATTTTTTCGCGATTGTTGCTGTTAAAATGGAGAATAGAAAGAGGAAACCGGAATGAAGGCTCTCTCATGACCGGCAGTTAATTTTAGCCTGCGATTTTCTACGAAGAACGGTGTTATCGAGCTAAAGGTGGAGTCACTTTTAACCACGATCCAAGAAATTGGACGTGGCAAAACATGGATACGAAAGTAGGATGTTTTTATTTCCTAGATAGAAATACGAAGAAATAATCTTTTATGTATTTTATCCGCGAATTTAAAGAAAAATATACTATGCATTTTCGGTAGACACTACAATCGAAAATAAGTATATTTATTCTAAGAGAGAATTACTATTGTATCTTAATCTTTAAGAGAAGTATGATTATGATACAAACTACGACTTGTTTTTAGAGTATTGATTAATCAAAATTTAATATATACAAAGAACCTCGAGAATACGCCGAACTCGACATGCAATTTTTGCTTGATCATTTCAGGAACGAACGGCCAGGAGTCCTTCAAATGTCCGGATGACTTCGGGTTCTATCCTCATCACATATCGTGCGACAAGTATTGGAAATGCGACAACAACGTGGCGGAACTGAAGACGTGCGGCAACGGTCTGGCATTTGACGCCAGCGACAACAAGTTCCTCACCGAGAACTGCGATTATCTGCACAATGTAGACTGCGGCGAGCGCACGCAGCTCGAACCGCCTATCAACACGCCGCACTGCGCCCGCCTCTACGGCATCTTCCCTGATGAGAAGAAGTGTGATGTCTTCTGGAACTGTTGGAATGGCGAGGCCTCCCGTTATCAGTGCAGTCCCGGACTGGCCTATGACCGTGAAGCTAGGGTGTGCATGTGGGCCGACCAGGTTCCCGAATGCAGAAACGAAGGTATCGATTTCGCTGATCACGAGTCTACCTTAATCCTAAAGTGACAGTATTCTCTGTATCAACATTACAGATTTAAAAAATATTCCGAATTGGCTGCACAGATTGTAAAATTCTTTTATCATTAAAATATGCATAAAGAGGTGCCGTACAATGTAACGAAAAAATTGAAAAAAGTTAAAAATTACATTTAGTATAATATTATTATAATTTTTTAACTTTTTTTCGATTTTCTCGTTAAATTAACCATTTCTCTTTTTTTGTGAATATTTTAATTTTGTAAAAGAATTTTACAATTTGTACAGCAATTCGGAATATTTTTTACTTGTAATGTCGATAATTCTGTTACTTTACGATCCTCTTAAGCTCAGATGCAAATTACATAAACAAATCGTCCAATGAATTCCTTAATGTCCGAGGATAATTAATGTTAGAACAATTCAGATGAAGAACGAATCGAACGAGAATAATTTCATAATCAAGCATATTGTCCAAATCATCAAAGATAATCATTTTTTTATCATGTAACATCAGCTATATCAGTTCATCCCTACAGATTCTCATTCCTAGTTTCTTTCATCATGGAAGATCCTTAATATTTATTGTTATAATATTTTTAACATAATCGATATTTCAATTTTTACTCTAACACTGATATCGAATTGAATATTATAACGTAAACTTGAACAGATTTCCGATCCAGTCACGCAAGAATTTGTCACGGGCGATTTGACGCAGATAATAGGATAAAACGTGCAGTCAATCTCACCTCTCTACTTCGAGACATATAACTGTCACAAATTCTTCTACTCCCTTTCTATTCGCCTCGTTTACTTTACAATTTTTTCCCCCTAGCAACTCTATCTTTTTCTTTTACCCATAAAAACAAAATAAAAATTATAATTTTTTCTTTTACATTATGTATATGTATATTTATACGACAACTTTTTATCAATGAAACTATTACATTAAAATTTTAAAATATATCTTTTCGTCTCTTATATTTTATATCCTCTTGCATGTAAGATGTGAGATGTCTCGTATTCTGCTTTCGTTTGCCAACTCAAGACTGATCAGTATCGCAATTACGAAGAAATACGATGCCTTTCTCTGTCGCTCGTGTTATATATCTATTTATTGCATTATGCAGAGGTCGCCGGAGGTTTCACGTGTCCGGCTGCGGGAGAAGTGAGCGGCGCATCCGGCAGCTTCAGCAGACACGCCCATCCGGAGGATTGCAGAAAGTACTACATATGCCTTGAGGGCATCGCCAGGGAATACGGTTGCCCGATTGGCACAGTTTTCAAGATCGGCGATGCCGACGGCAGCGGCGCTTGCGAGGACCCCGAGGATGTTCCCGGATGGTGAGTATAGCCTTAATTTATACACATAATGCAATTGTCCCGAAATTGCTATATCTTCAATTGTGCAGGAATAAACTGCGAAATTGCATCAAAAATTTTTGAAAAAGTGGAAAAAAGTAAATTTTTAAGATATCAAATGGGATATCAAAGAAGGTAGAATTATAGAAGAATGTTAGAACAATAATGCTTATTCCAGCTTAAACGAGCTCTCTTTCTATAAATTATTTAATTCCAACACAAGCATAGTCGATTTCCAAAATGATTATTACACGGTATCATTTGAATTCTAATCTAAGACCATGTAGTTAAATGTAACAGAAATGAATAAATATATCTATAAGAATTTACTTTCAATTTTGCGCCGTGATGAATGTTAGTAAACGACAATTAGAAGAATCAGAGAATTCAAAGTCTCATTCCTTTAAAAATTACGATCACTGTAAGAATTATAAGAGCAAAGCTCAATGCAAAAAAAGCAATTCTAAATTGAATGACATCAAAATTTTCAAAAAAAAAAGTTAAAATACACGGAAAGAACGATGTCGTTAAAATTTTAAAATTAAAAAATTTAGTTAGATACATCTAAAAGTTATTTTGTTGGATTATCAAATAATAATAACGTAAATCCCTCAAGTATGATGAACAATGCTGCAAAAAGTTTTGACATTCTAACAATCAGTTTGAGCTCTACATAATTATTTTAATGGTTCAATAAAATTATTCTGAGATATGTATCCAATATCTAACTAAATTTTTAGATACTTCAGACAACAACATTTCTTTCTGTAAACGTATGCAAAATTCAAAAAAAGAATTTTCTTGAGTACAATAAAGAATTTTTTTTAATTTTCTTTTTAATTTATTTAACTTTTTCTCTTGTAATATTTCCATTTATAAGTTTTCAACCAACTTTTTGTACTTCTAAATTATCTTGTGAAAAATTTTCCGCCATATTGTTTTTATGTCAAAACAAAGACTGAATTAAATGACTATGAAATTAATAGAGCAATCTGCGGAGAAATGTATGCTATAAAAGTGCGAAAATGACGTTAACGATGCATTGTGTAACAAATAATTGTGGGCGTGTTATAAAAATGTTCAAATTCGATTATCTCAGTAATTACAGTCATCTGATGAAAACATCGAGCTATCTTGAATGAAGTCGTGTTTAAGGACTTTCGAGAAGAAATTGCATTCGCGGATAATGTGTAATTAAGAAGATATTCGCGTTACAGCATACTTTCGCGATAGTTAATGACGTTTTATGTAACTACTGTAAAAAATAATAACGGAAATTTGATGCAACAAATCGTGCATTTAAAAATTGAAAAGTCGCATCATGAAGTAATTTCTGTCTGTAAAAGTTGATCTTCTTCTCTCAAATATTGAGTGCTTAATCGTAAATTAGCAAATAATTGTCCATTAATTAATACTAATATTAGTAATTATATTTTTCAATTATCTTCTAACATGTGTCTAACATATATGTTAACTATTTCAGTGTTCTAATATCGTATTATAATATTAGCAGCCCCCATTCGTAGACTGTCTAGAAAAAAATATATAAAAATTATTTCTTTCTAGAATTTTTTACTTATATTTATTTAAAGAATTTATATTATCTAGAATTTTTTACTTATATTTATTTAAAAAATTTATATTAAATCAAAATTAGAATTAATATCAATATGACTCTAATCTGGCAATCTACGCGACAAATCGAAGTACTAGACATTTAATCATGAAAATTTGCACATGTGTACATACACTTAAACAAGGTGACAAGAAAAGATTTTTCTTGCTACGTTCCATAATATTTTAAAAAAGAAAGAAACGACGATAATTCTAAGACATTTATCGTAATTTGCAAATTTTCATGACTACTTGCAAGAATGGCTACTCTATGTGTATACGCATGTGCATCTCATCCGCAAAATAACGGCAAGCGCACGCAATAACAGTACGCAGTAGTGCGCACCGAGCATGTCCTGACTCCGGGTTTTTCTCGGTTTTGCTCCACAGTGAGGATTACTATGGTGACCTGGATCTGAAGAGCATCCGGAAGAGCGAGCTGCTTGCCGGCATCCAGAGTGAGCCCAGAAAGCCGAATCAGGCCCTCAAACCCAGACCCACAACAGTAGGAGGGCCCACGAGGCCCTCACCTATCCAGGAATAAATCCTGATTTACCTCGCTCTTTCTCCTTCCATCCCTTCATTTTTTCGCACCTTCTTTTCCTTTCTATTTCTTTCTGTTTCTCTTTTTCTTACTATTTCTCTTTTTCTCTTCATACATTCTCTCTTCTCTCTCTCTCTCTCTCTCTCTCTCTCTCTCTCTCTTTGTTGCTATCATTTAACTTTATCGAATTTTATTGCTTAACGCAAGTTATTGGTATGAAATCTAGGTCATAAATTAAAATAGCACTCCTTTTTACAATAAACAGTGATCTTTTATTATAATATAATTCTGAGAGTCATATTTATATGCTTAAAAATTCAGAAAAAGAATTATGTTTCATCTTTTAATAAAATATAAAATATTAAACGTATAATAAAAAAAATCCTAAATAAAAAATTTAATTTTTTTTTAAGTTTATAATTTTATTTTAATCCTCTATGATTCAATAATAAAAATATTGGTAAACTTATTGAAATCCTTTTATATCTTCTGTATCTTCTATATAATGCTCTTTGATTTATTTAAATTTATAGATAAATTTATTTAAATTTATAGATAAATCTATCGATTTTATGCCAATAAATTATATCAAGGTCAATTTCTTCCTTCCTGTTCCTCTTTTTATATCTGATCTTCTCTCTTTATTTTTGTTACTGTTTCATATCCTTCTCTTATTTCTTCTATAATTTTCACTTCTTTTTTTTCTCTCCTTTTATCACGCATAAACATACATTCGCATACACATACACAATTGAAAAAATGCAGTCCTGATTACATAAAGATTTCTCCGGAGAAGAAGTAAACAGCGGCCCACAAGGATCGATCTCGAAGCGAAATCTCAAAGCAAATCCCGCGAGATTCTGAGAGGACAAGAAATGCGCGATCGAGCTGTTATAAATATTCTCTCTCGTCGCCCTAATTACACGTCATCATATAATTGTCTTACAATATTTTTTTTCTATAATTATAGAAGGGATACATGATAAATTAATGTGACGAGTAATTGCAAATTTCGAGAATTCACTTAAAATTCTTCGTAAAATAACTTGTATGTTACATTTTGCAATATAGTAATACGAGTGATCGCTATTAAAAATCTAATAATGTAATTTTACCTATCAGAACAAATTTCTGAAAAACTGACAAAATGTCTCAAAAAATTAATATAATTATTCTGTTATAATTTTCTAATATGCACAGAATTAATTATAGTTTATAATATTTAAGAATTCCCCTTAGGTTTAACAAGACTAAATTTAAATTTTTCATTGCTGCTGATACAATGTTTAATTGATAATAATTAACATTGATACAGCATAAAATTTCTCGGAAAATTTCCTGACAAATGCTCAAAAAATTGATCTTCCACAAAATTTATGTAAATTGTGACGCCTCATCGGCGATTTCTTTTGATCAATTTCTCTTTTATATAATAAATAAAAAATTAATCCTCTCAACTGTTTCTAATCTATCCACATACTCTGAACTATTCCTAATCTATCTTTCTTCTGTCTTTTTTTCCTTTTTTTTTTTCATTAAAGTGAGAATAGGAATTAAAAACTTGTAATTTCGCATGAAAACGCAACAATTGAGGGTCATTTTTGCAAAATTATAAATTTCCTAAAAATATATAAATATTATATATTTGATTATTTTTACGATCATCTTGTCATTGTACTGATATATTTTAATTAATGTACATAGTATTAATTTTTCTTTAAATATATTATAATATATATAATTATATAAAGATGATCGATAAAACGTGTTTCCTGAAAATTATTATTGTTGCAAAACTTGCATGGATTTTGTAAAAATTGTTCTCGATAGAAGACAACTCAAAAAACTAAATTTAACGAAATTACACAGATTTTAATTCCTGAATGAGACACACGATAATAAAGAAAAGTGGAAAAACATCAATTACATTGTGTATGACATTGAAATTTATCAGATTCGCGTAGTTAGCAATCCACGATGTGATCCATATGTGTGATCTATACAGTTTAGAAATCTTTTCAACTCTAATAATTACTACTAAGTAAGCAAAATCGACCGGTTTGTCGTGTATCTTTAAGTAAGATGAAAACTTCATTAAATAAAAAAGAGAAAATTCTTGGAAGACTTCGACTTGTATTTTCACCACATATTTGATGTTAATGTTAAAATTTTATTTATAATATATAATTCTATGACCTAGCTCTTTATATAATATTAAAATAATTTGGTTCTAAGATCTAATTATATTAATATTAAAATTAAACGGAATTCTAAAAGCTATTTATTTAATGCTAATGCTGCATTATGTATCATATGTATCAGAAAAAAATTAGATAGCCACATTTGATATTAAACGTGTGGTGAGAATATAAACAATTTTTCTATCTATTTGCCCTATAAATCCCTATATTTCCTAATCCACTTTTATCAATCATTGACACATTTATCTATTTGTAATTTTTAATATATTTAATGGTTTTTTAGCACATTCTCTGTGTAGTCATTTATTGCATGAAACTATTACCTAATGATGTACATAATTTAATCGTAACGTATGTAATATATATGTATACATATCATATATCAATCACAGCCTGAAAATCTTAATTTAAGCTTAAAAATTGGCATGCATCGAATCTGTATATATCGAATCAACTATGATTATAACTGAAGCATCATTTGAAGGAAATGTACATTATATTTCATGAAAGAACCTTGTTTGTATCAGATGTATATAATGTCTCATGTATATATTGTATTTCAACTTTAACTAATCACGAATATTTTTATCTGCTTTAATAAAAAATATCTGCTTTAATAAAAAATATCTGCTTTAATAAAAAAATATAATTGCAAAATTAAAATTTACAAAATCACGCACGATATTGCATGAAGCGGAAAATTAGGAATCAAATTAAAAACGTCAATCAAATTAGCTAAAATTAATTAAGACCGTTATTTTTTTTCTTTCTTTTTGCGAAATTAGTTTTTTTTTAAATATGATGATTAATTCTGCGACTTCTAGAATTACTCAGACTCGATCAAATAAAAGATAACAAATCAATGTATAGTTTCACGCGAAAGACTCACATAAAAAATTTTTATTGAAATCGTACTTCAAAGACGGTAAATCTCAAGATAATCATACGTTACGATCAAGTCACATGGAATATTTTCATGCATTTCTCAGCAAAGACTATTACGGTGACGTGGACTTGAAAGCCCTACGCAAGCTAGGCTACAGGAAATAGAAGCGTTTGCATGCAAGCGTTGCACTCACCGGCGACGAAAACTGCAGCACATCCGTCGCGGGAAATCAGCCGCAGAAAGTCAATCATTGGCAAAAGGAAAGAAGCAATCGCAAGACAACACACACCATTCTCCTGCAAATTATGTTCCATAAAATTACATTGTTGTCGCCATGTAAATAAGCTGAATCGATTGCAAGACGTGAGAAAGTATAGAAATACATGTTTAAAAAAGGAACATTTGTGTTTACAATTTTTTTGTTACCCTTGGATTCAGTATCTTCCAAAAAAATTGTTGTATTTCATTAATATAATATCATAAAAATAATTGCTTTCCGTTTACATAAAGACTCACATAGTTCTCAATTATAACGTCTTAACTTAGATAAACACACATTTCTTTTCATTCTGACAAATGAGATCCAACTGAGTTTTTATCTATAATCTCGAGAGTGTGTTTTACTGAATCTTATTAATTTATATTAAAAGTAATTATAAACAATATAAACCTGTATTACTATGTGGTAACTTTGTCATAAAAGTAAGGAAGTAGTGGCATTACCATCTGAGTAGAAAATACTCATATAATTTAACCATCACCGTGTATATGTTTTTTTAGTACCCATTAAGTGTATACGAGGGTCATTCATGTTCGGTATTTTGTTTAATGAGTTAAGTGATTCAAAAAATATTAAAAATTTCATGTAGTTTTCTTAACTGATCTAAATGAAGGATTTATACATAATTTAACAAATTATGTATAAATCCTTCATTTAGGTCAGTTAAGAAAACTACATGAAATATAGTCAAAAAAATATATGTCAACAAATTTTTTACATTTAAATGCTTAAGTTCGGGATATAAAATCTTACAATTTCGAAACTTATAAAAATAAGCGTTCTTATGAAAAACTGACATTTAACTTTAAAAAATTCATTTTTTACTTAAAATCTGTAGTTTCATATACTTTCGTAAATAAAAAAATACATATAATTTTAAAAATCGCTTGAACACACGACATACACACACACACACACACACACACACACACAAATAACCCCCGTATTCACGGTGAGAGTTAAGTATCACTAACATAAGTATCACTTTTGTGAAAATGGAAAGCAATTAATATTATTTTATTTGAATAAAGTAAGTAATAAAATAATTTAAGATAATATAGTATAATAGCATATAGGATGAAATGTAAGTAAAGATCTGATCAATAAAAAAATATTTTTTCATCAAGTAATTACAGAATTACATAAATAATATATAGGGTGTTTTATTCTATTCTGCAGCAATTTCGATTCTTTTATTCTAGCAAGTACAATTACTACATTTAATTTTAAACCATGCATGCGATGATTGCAGTTATTAAGGGATACTCTAGTATTAGCACAAGTTATTAAAGCAATATTGAGACTTCCTAATATATATCCTCATCATGTTTATATAACAAATGCCTTGTCAATGAATTGTGCTAATCAGGTAATGATCAGTAATGATGACATCTCTTCCACTGACACGTTACTCTCATTCTCAGGAAATTCCAAAGCAGCATTGCTTTTCCGTTAAAGAAACATTTTCGAAACGATCGTTCCAGACAAATCAGGTGCTTCAAACTATACCATCGCAAAATATAACTAGCGTCACCATTTTGCATTGAATTCTTATGAGAGAAGAGAGAGAAGCGGCCGACTTCTACGATAAAAGAATCGTTCGCAAATATATATGTTTATTTGTTTGAAACACGACTATTAAAATGACGACCATAAAACTTGCCAAACTCAGACCGTGTCAAACAGAAAAACACGCACGATAATTCTTTCAGAATATAACAAAAAATAATGGTCTACGTTGTTTATAATGCGAAAGATAGAAAAATAGACGTGTTGCGGCAGTTGTTGGTCTACATTTTGGGTGGAACTATTAGCGCCTCTGCGCGCATAAAACATCAACTACGTAGTCACAATATTATCGACATCCGCAGTAATGCATTCGGGTAACATATCCACAGTACTCCAGTAATCAATTTTAATATACAAAAGAGAGAAGAGAGAGAGAGAGAAGACCGACAAGACCCATTATTTTAATATTAATAAATTAATAAGTTAATTTCGTTTTTACTCATCAATGCGTAACAGTTGAACTATCTTTTCGGTGGAATTGAGCGCAACACTAAGAAAATGTTTATTTTTCCCGTACCCAATCGATTTGCTGAAACTCTTCTATCAATTATTTAAAAATACGTCGTGCCTGATTCCACTATCCATATTGATAAATTGCGTGCATACGACGCTTTGTGTAATGAAAATTACACACATTTTACAGAGTCAATAATAGTACAAATATTATAAATCCAGAAAATACACACAGAACATAGAACGACTCTAGAAGAATATGCGTTCATATATTCCTCGATACAGCATTCAAAATTATTTAGAATATCATACCCCACCTAAAATCTTAATAAAAATACATATTCGACGCGTTTTTACTCAAAATGAAAGAATCTGGCAAAAAAATGCGGCGGTCGGCCTCGTGAACCGAGATATTAAGTGTTGAAGTTTGATATTTTAGAGGTTAAGATATCTGTTATCTCCACTCGATACAGCGCTATATATACGTTCTGCTTTAATTAGACAAATTCACTGCTTTAAAAACAAATTCTCTGCTTCATGAATACAAATTCACTCTTTAAAAACACAAATTCACTGCTTTAAAAATATAAATTCACTGCTTTAAAAACACAAATTCAATGCAAAGAATTTGTGTGCTTAAAACAGTGATGAATTTATATTTTTAAAGCAGTAAATTTGTGTTTGTGAAGCAGAGAAATTGTTTTTAAAGCAGTGAATTTGTGTAATTAAAGCAGAACGTATATACATAGCGCTATATTGAATCGGGATGATAGATATTTTAACCTTTAAAATTCCGAACTTTAACTCTTAATATCTCGGTTCACGAGGCCAACCGCCGCATTTTTTTGCCAGATTCTTTCATTTCGAATGAAAACGCGTCGAATGGGTGTATTTTTATTAGATTTTAGGTGGGGTATGATATTCTAATAAAAATAATTACCCGGAGCTCGACAACGATCGCGAACGTTCATCGAGAAGATCATGAGAAAATTCAACTATTACACGCACTGTTTTACGCACGATAAATACCGCGTCCCGAACAAGCATCGCAGACACTTGTCGCACTCGCGTGTTTGAATTGACGAAATTGACGATGAAAAAC